GTTGTACGTACAGGCAGAGGCTCCGGCGGCTGGTCCAGCCTCAGGGTGGAGGAAAGCATTGAGGGGCTGAGAGGGAAGCTGGGGCTGCTTGGGTTACGGCTCTTGCGTCTGGAGCGTCTGGTGGAATCCCGCCGGCTCTCCCTACCCGGACCATCAGGCTCCTCCTCGATGACCAGGATCTTGTCATCGCTGAGGTATCGAAGCAATGAATTGTCAGAATCTGTGGGAAATGAAGAGACAAGGGTTGTCATGGTTACTGGAGGATGGTCTGGCTCAGAGAAATGGATGGAGGGAAGAAGAGACGGCGTCTATGGCACAGAAAGAACAGCTGAGTCTGAACGCCTCACAGATAAAAACCGAAGCAAAGAGCAGGAAGAGCCGATCACAGCTGGGACACATCTAGCATCAGTTTGTAATAATTATGTTGATTTAAAAAAGTCTATTGCTGAAACTCATCTGTGAAAAAAACTCCAGTTAGATAAAACATCTTAAGTCATTTGTTTTCTGTCCCTGAATTTAAAAGTGAAGAGCCAGGAAGAGCCAAAGAGGAGGACCGGCCAGGCTCATACATTAGGACTGTACTTTAATATTATTCATAGACTTTCTGCTGGTAGAGCGGAGGATCCTCAGCTGCATACAGATCCAGCCTCACTGCTTAGAATCGGTCACATTCTCCTTCCACAGCCAGCGGATCAAAACAATTTCCTCACATTTATGTCTAATAGTTGATTTCTAGATACAGAGCAGGTGGGTCATGTATCTGTAAGGGAACCAGCATGGATAAACCAGAGGATGAGCTGAGATGCGTTGGGCTGAGTATGAAGCAAAGCACGGCAACACTTGGATCCCACAGCATTAGGAGGATCACATGCTGTATTTTCCTGTCATTTCTGTAAGTTAAATATTTATAACTAAAGGTGTTGATCTCATATTTGAGTGTGTTTGTGTGTACCTCTGCTCCCTCTCTTTCCCATGCTGGGTTCCTTGGCCTCGGCCATCCAGTTATATTCAGGAGGCATGGAAACAGGTCTGAGATCACCTGGAAGCACCAATCAGCAATCAGAGTCTGGCTGACAGACGGAGCGGGTGAAGGCTAGGGGGGAGGACGGGTGAGACACAGAGGGGGTTTGTGCAGGTGGGGCAGAACTGGTAAAGGACTTCTACAACTGGAAACTGCTTCACCTGAAGCCCTAAACCTTCTGGGAAAATCTTTGGTTTATTGTTTTTTATATTTGCTCAACATTTGTTTCTTTTCAACAGAATGACTGTAATGAGGCTGTATTAATATAAATGGACATAATGGGCCGTTAGTTAATAGCCTGATCAAATATTCATTATTTTATTCTAGAAGTAAAGAAAAATCTAACATCTGGATGTAGTGTTCTAGGGGAAAAATAACTTTCACAATCATTTAGAATAAGAATAAAGATTTAAAAAATTCAAAATAATTAAAACCTCTTTCTTTGATGTTTTTCAGGTTGACCAAAGCATCACTGAACTTTGAACATGAAGAAACAGATTCCTGCTTTTCTTAGCATAAAATCCAGTTATTGTTTCGCTAAAGAAGCTGCTCTGCTCATTTCTGCTAAATCTCCTCAGATCAAAGTCAAAGCAGAACTTTAAGCTTTAAATCTACTAGAACAGGGGTGAAAGGTCAGGATCCACATTAGTTTTTTACTAAAGGGAGGTGGATGCAGCTGCAGACTGAGAAGCATCCTGGGATCAACGAGCCTCTGAACTGCTGCTGTTTTTTAGGCTTAGATTCAGACACTAACTGTAAAACACAAAATGTTCTCTCGCTGCTTTGGATCCATTTAATTAGCCTGAATTCATCTCAGACATTCATCAGAACTCCTCGTCTGATGATGGTAGTCATGGCCGCGGGGAAGTGGGGCTGCTGCAGCGCCCCTAGTGGCGAGAGGGAGATTTTTTTTAACCTATTAAAATACACAATTTAAAAGTTTCTAATGAATATTTTGGGAAATTAATTTTAATTTTTATTTTACTATTACGTGTATTTGGATTTTAATTTATTTATTATGAGGCCTAATCAACACAAGTTCACAGAAGTTACGTTGTCATGGCAACATGAAGCAAGCTAGTGGTCCCTGAGTAAAGAGGCGTCCCGCCGGAGGCAGCAGGCTAGTTCATTTAAATGGTCTAATGACAGAAAAACCAGCAGCAGTGAAGAAGAACTCTGGTACCAAAACACGACCACGCAGTGAGCGGCTGGAGGGAGGAGACTGTCCGCCCGCCTCTGATGCCAGTTGCACCTGCAACCCAACCTAGCGTGATAAAATTAGCCCTTCCAGCCAACATCCAGTTTCTAATGTGCTGCAGGGCGTTAAGGTAATGAAATGATCCCACATTCTGCAGCTCTGGCTTGGTTTGCTAGATGGCTGCAAATGTTTTACTGTGACGTTTAATTAGCTGAGCATATATTCACCTGAGAACTGATTAATGTGATTGATGAAATCTGTGTGTTTCAGACCCTGGTTGGTGCACTGACCTGTATATGACAACAAAGTAGTGAATCTTTATTTATTTATTCTTATTTATTGTATTTTAAACAGGCCTATAGGATCTTAGGTCTTTTGTCCAAAACAACAAAACTAATTCCCAGCCCCCCCGATCTAAAGTACTTCCAGCGGCCGTGTATATTCATGAAGGAACGCGGCTGGTTGTTTAGTTTCAGTGACCTTTGTCTTGCACATCATATGGTGCTGTAGTCCCATGGTGCATTGGCAGACAGGTGCGTTACAGCTTGCTTTGGAAGGTGTCGAGGGAAAAAGGTGGACACAGGTGGTGGAGCAGACAGGGAGCTGGAGTATCTTTAGATGCTCTATTTAAGGCGTGTAACTGTGAGTGTGTGTGTGTGTGTGTGTGTGTGTGTGTGTGTGTGTGTGTGTGTGTGTGTGTGTGTGTGTGTGTGTGTGCCAGAGGAAGACAGAATACAGCGCAGCGACGAAGCCAGTGAGGAGGAGAAAATGATGAAAATGACGCGGGATGGGAGCCGCGGCGGCAGTGAACATGCAGTCGGCTGATGAGGCGCAGTGACAGAGATGTTCTTGCTCCATTTCATGCTGGGATCCTATAATCCGCCTCACCATGTGTTGGAGTTTTGTCCCTCCGCCGGACGCCGGTGTTGCGGCCTCTGTCGTAGTCCGGCCCAGATGGTCCGTCCCCCTCTAGCAGAGAGAAGTACTGACCGCTGTCCTGGTCTAGGTAGTAGCTAATGGCCTCTGAACCCTTAGACCCAGACTGGGAGCTAACGCTGTAGCGACCGATGTCATCACACGACATGAGGCCCATTTCCTCCCTACAGAGAACAGAGTTGTCATTATGGCTGTCATCAACATCAGCACCCTCATCACCAGCAGCATGGAAATAATCAGGATAATGGGCATCATCACAACCTCTCCGCATGACCTGACCTGGTGCTGTAGAGTCCAGAGACGGGAGAGAGGATGTAGACGTCCTGCATGCTGGGGGCGTCCATTTTGGACATGCCTAGGGTTCCTCCTGGTGTGGGGGACGTGCTGGTGGGGCTGGTTGGGATGGGCTGAAAAAGAGAAAAGGCTTTTACCATCTTTTCATAATGAAGAATATTTATAACACGTTACAACCAGAGATGAAAATCATTTTACTGGAACTTTATGATCCGATGGTAGAAAGTAAAGTTGAATAATAGTTGAACTTTATTAATCTCTCACTGGAGAAATTCCCTCTCTGCATTTAACCCCTCCCCTTGGGGAGCAGTGGGCTGCCATTGTACGGCGCCCGGGGAGCAGTGTGATGTTAAGGGTCTTGCTCAGGGACCCAGAGTGTCAGTCTGTGGGAGTGGGGCCCAAAGTCCTAACCTCCAAACTCTAAGCCTAGCCACTAGGACACCCCCCCCCCCCCCCCCCCCCCCCCCCCCCCCTTTCAGCCAAAGAGACCAAGTCATTGCTCTGCATCTCCAATAGTTCTAGGTCAAATAATCCAGCCTCAAGCAAACAGTTTTAATTTAAGTCTAAAACTTCAGATTTTAAGCCCTTTCAAGTATTTTTTATATAACAAAGTTCAATAATATGTTAAATGTAAATAAATGATTATGTGATCTTTTGTAAATCTGTATTTGTCTCAGATGATGAAACCAGTGCAGCTAAAGTTGGCTGAGCCGCTCTCCATCTTTTACTCTCTTCCTCTTCTTGTTACTTTTTGTTTTTTGTTGAGTACTTTGAAGTTCATGTACCCAGAAAAAGCAGCTAGGTTTGCTTTTTCAGAAAAAATCGGTTTAATCTGATGGGCTCGGCTGCAGCTAATGCCTGCATACGTCCAGAGATGTAGACTTTTTATGGAATGAGTGAAATAAATCAATCTTGCACATTTTTTATAACATTAAAGTCCAGGAAATGATTGGATCCAGTTTGCTTTTCATCAACCAAACATCTGAGGGAATAAGTGCTGTTCATCTAAACCCCAGCTTTGGCAGACTGGGTGAGAGATGCAAGGTGACTCTTGAGGAACCGCATAGATCCACAACTCAGGTGGGAAATATGTTGCAATTTTGTATAGAAGAATCGTTTCTTTTTTAAAGAAAGTCATAAGACGACGTGTTTGAAGCTTCACAAACAGCATCTAATGGAAACACAAAAAACTGGAGAAGGTGAGACCAGTAATCTCATTTTCAAGACTGAAAATTAAACGCTTCGTGTGGCATAAACACACCATTGGAAATATATATATATATATATATATATATATATATATATATATATATATATATATATATATATATATCATTGTACTCTAAAATGATTCTAGTCATGCAGACAGATTTTAAATTGAACATATAGAGTTGAACACAGCTTTAGATCACTGATGTTACTTTATTTCCTTATTTTTTTTAGCTAAGCTGATTCCATCAAGTCTCTGAATTTGCAGCAATCCCTCCTTAAAAAGCAAAACCTGAGAATTATTATATTTAAAGCTACAGTATCAGTGAAGCCTGTTTAATCACTTCACTTTCTGTCATTTTGTCTGAAATCTCTTCACTCTGAAAGGGTTCTTCATGTCTGTTCCCATGACAACCCCCTTCCTCCTGTACTCTGCTCATCCCCCCCCCTTACTATTTTAACTACAAAGGAAGGAGAGGATGCAGGACAGTTATTGTCGTCTCCTGTGTCTGTTTGATTCAAGGACCCTTTGATTTATTGGTTAACTGTTATAATACCTGCCTCTGCTGCCATAGGAACACATTTTGATTTTGTTTTGTTCTCATTGGGAGCAGCTGCTGCAGCTAATGCTACATCATGTGGTCGATTTCAGACGTAGAAAGATGAGTTCATGCTGTAAGTGTGAGGATTCAGAACCATTTTAGGGAGAAGATGTGGACAGAATGGATAAACAGAAGCAGAAGGAAACCAAGGAGGCAGCGCTCTCATTAAGGAAGCTCGCTGTCTTATTATTTCATCAGCACCACATTAATCACATTCATTTCACTTTCCAAACTTTATGCACCCTCTCTCTCTCTTTGCTCCCCTTCACAACCTTTATCCCCTCGTCTCTCTCCTCCTCCTTCAGCTGCGCTCTTCCTCTACTGAAGGCAGCTTCCTGGAAGATGACTTTGGCAAAAATAATGAAGACGAGGTGGAAAGAGACCAAAGCGAAAAGAAAAAAACCAAAACAGAGAGAGAATGCCAGAGAGCACCGGGTGAGCTTTGCAGTTTGGTGACTGGAGAAAACAGTAATTTAGTGATTAGAACCCACTGGTCTCTGCATGGGAACGGGGGGGCCGAGGGGGCCCGGGGAAAGCTGTACAGATGAGGCTACCACAGCAGGTGAACTTCCAGTCTGTTCAAACATCACTTAAAGCATTTGATCCCTGCTGTGCCCAGATCTACTGCTCAGCACCATGGACAGTTCCCACACACACAGATGGATCCACTACAACAAATACAGACACTTTATTATACAAACCTGAAAGCATAAAACCTTTAAAGGTCCCTTAATATTCTACATTTGATGATTAAAAATTATTAACAATAAAGCCCCCAGAGGATGTTTGTGGAAGAAAACTCCTCTGAGTTTAGGCAGAATGCCTTTAGCAAAAATCTCCTTGTTCAGCCCTCCTCTATATGAACCGTTTTGACTTTCCACACCTGGCCTTAAGAGGCCACGCCCACACAACCGTGAAAACCAATCAGAGCTCTTAAAGATATGAGCACAGAATAATAGAAAAGATGAAGGTCAGAGCCTAACTGGTAGGACTGGAAGTAGTAGGATACAGCTAGTCTCCACCCAGGCCATCCAGCGAGGCCACAGACAGCGGTGGCTAAGCTACGGCTGCTAAGCTACGGGCTGCTAAGCGACGGCTGCTAAGCTACGGGCGGCTAAGCTACGGGCGGCTATGCTACGGGCTGCTAAGCTACGGGCGGCTAAGCTACGGGCGGCTATGCTACGGGCTGCTAAGCTACGGGCGGCTAAGCTACGGGCGGCTAAGCTACGGAGCTCAGAAGTTGCAGGTCTGGCAAAGTTAGGGAAAAGGTTTCCAGCAAAACAATTTGGGTTTTTGATGATTTCTGATGATTTCATGTGTTTAGCTGCTGTTTAAAGCAAACTAACAAGAAGTGAATAGTGACTGATTGGTGCTGAAATGTTTTGTAGCTCATGCTTATAAGGTTCAGACAAACTTTATTTTAATAAAGGTTTAAACACTAATATGACAATAAAGAATATCTGATTTGCATTAAACAGCAATAATAATAATATTTTATTTATCATATTTTAATTGGGAACCGTTCTGTTAATTGATTTGAAGGCCAATTCCAATTTCTCTACTTTTGTCAAAATCTAATTTAACCTCATTCCAACTCTTTAAGATAAACTTTGGTTCTTAGACATAAAATCCATGATATCATTGCTTTTTTAATTGATTATGGTTTTTAAAACCATTTTCTGTGAGAAGCTTAATTAAGGCAAGTTTCAATATTTAAAAGTTGTTAACAGAAATATGTTTGACTTGAAGTTGGAAGATTTTTCCTAATGAATTATTGAATTTTGAAGGAAAGTTGGTGTAAATTTATTCCAAATGCAGAGTTAATTCTTTGATCAGGATTTGAGCTTAAATTTCACTTCCACCCTTTTGGACGTGTGTTCATGGAAAAACAAACATTAAATAACATAAAGTTACAATGGGAATAAGAAAGACAATTCCTAAGAATGTAAAAATAAATCAGAGTCAAAGAATACTTTCCTAAAAGTCTTCATGGTTATTTAAATGTATTTATTTTTCTCTAAATGTAAGTTATTTTTGTTCTCTTTGGTTATGAATAGTATTGGGGTTTAAATCCTCCTTTATGCTATTATTAATCATTAAAGGAAAAGTTCGGTCATATTCAGAATTCAAACTTCTGAAAGTTCTTTAAATCTGAAATGATTCCATCCTGTTCAATAAATGATCAGTGTTTTTAATTCAGAGTAATTTTCATGTGAATGTGCTTTACTGGAGGCATCCATGTTTGTCAAAGAACACTACTGCCACCTACTGGTTAGTGACGTCACTCGGTCAATGTCAGTGGCTAACTCAGTCAGTGTCAGTGGCTAACTCAGT